ATTTCCGCGAATTAATTTTATTTTCAAACTTTTTCGAAATGAGTTATGAATATTTATAAACTCACAACCTCCGTCATCAGTATAGAAAGTCAATTTAATTTTATAACAAATAAAGAAATGCTATGAACTCGCTATCCCTTAATAGCCGTTACAAGTCAAACGCCCCGAAAAAAAAGCGAAATAAAACTATAATAACAACCACTAAGCGTAACTAAAGAGCAATAAGCAGCATATGAACAGCTACAATAACAACTATGCTACCGTACGATGACAACCGCAAAATACAGCAAACAACAAAAGCAAGCAGATAATAGGTATGTTGTTGTAATAGCAAAATATAAAAATACGAGTGTAACAAAGTTAAAAAGTCAACTCATACTGATTCCGGTTCAAGGCACCCAGTGGATGTTGTGTATGGGCGTATGTGTGTATGTTTTTAAGCAAGTATGCATGTGACTTAATGATGCATATGTGTGTTTCTGAGTTTGTGTGTTTGTGTAAAAAATGACATGTACACCTCATGCACCTGTCATTTAACGCTTGAATGGGCTTACTGCTGGCTTGTACAACAGACACGCCGACATGCAACATTCAACACGCCAATACCATCAACTTGCCACCTGCAACAACAGCAACAACAACTATTGCCTGAGTTGGCAATATCGACAGGAGAGTTGCAACCATAAAAAGTGGCTGCTTGCCTGGTTGGAAGAAGTGATATTTAGCTGTTTGATCCTTCTGTGCATATGCATACATGCGCACATACATATACACATATATATTTGTATATAGTATATTGTGTGCATTAAAGCAAACGAGCGCATTATGTGTCTTCATTTATTTATGTTTTGTGGCAGTGTCCGATTTCTTGTCGTTTAGTTTGGTATTTCCTGCAACTTACAGAATATAGTGTTGTTGTAATTGTTACTCTGAATGGAATTTATTTTTTATAAAATAGTTTTAAATGACTTCACTAGGAAAGGTATCATTAGCCATGTTTCGAGGGATTGGACATAGTGTAGCGAATTTCCACTGCTGGATTATAATTGATCAGTTTGTATGGCAGCTATATACTACAGTGGGCCGATCTAAAAAATTTCTTCGGAGATTGTGCCGTTGCCTTGGAAAATAAACCATAACAAATTACGTGTAGATATCTTCTCAAAATAACATAATATCTATACAACCACTTGACTCTGATTGTTCAGTTTGTATGGCAGCTATATGCTATAGTCATCCAATATCGACGGTTGCAACAAATAGACAGCTTCTTGGGGAGAAAAGAATGTGTGCAAAATTTCAAATCGATATCTCAAAATTTGACTGATTAATACGCGTATATACAGACGCACATGGGTAAATAGACTCAGTTCCTCACGCTGGCCATTTATATATATTATATATACTTTGTAGGGTCTTCCATGTTTCCTTCATGGTTCTAAAAAAACCTCGTGAAAACTTAATATACCCTAATCAGCGGATAAACAAGGATCATTAAGGGGTTAGGGGTAGTCAGAATTTTCAAAAAACCAATTGTTTGTTTGTTTAATAACTTGAAAATATTCTCTGAACATTTTTTTTGTTTAAGTTTGTTTAATATCTTGAAAATATTCTCTGAAAATTTCAAGTTGATCCAATAATTACTTTTTGAGTTATTCGGCAAATAACTCGGGCACTTCTAAGCGCTCGGGAGCAGGTAGCTAGCGGCAGCTTTAAATGCGTTTTTCTCAAAACTATGTTTTTCGAACTGGTGGCAACTGTAATTCGAAAGCCGCTCAGTAGATTTTAAAGAAATTTATACAGCTTTTAGAAGACATAATAAACTCGCGCCTGATCGATGGTTTCGATCGAATTTTAAGACCAATTGACTGTTGATTTTTTCCCAAAAATCTAGAAAAAAATTTCCTGAGGCCGCCATTTTGTTAATTTTTGAAAAAGAAAAAAAGCTTCTATCAGGCCCAGGATTATCTATTTATAAAATTAATTTTTTTTCACCGATTGATTTTAGATGAATCTCCAAGGACTTATGATTGTCACCGCAAGGACTTTTTTTTTGGAACTTGGTCAACACAGACAGCTAAAACTTTGGAAATAAAAAAAATATTTTTGAAATTTTCCTCAGTTCAAGTCAAAACATTGTATATTAATGTCATATTACTACTTTTGTAAAATAACATGATTTAATAGCAAACAAAAATTACTGAAAATTCTAATTTTTTCGTGCCTCTGACTACACCTAACTCCTTAAGAAAAAAATATCAAGATCCACGGATTATTGAGAAAGCTTAACCGAATAGCGAACTAAGTAGTAAATGATAAATTATTATTACTACCTGTTACCTTACTTTTAAAATATTTTTAACAATAAATTTTATATATCTATAGCAATAACTTATGTAACCGTGATACGTTACGTTACATTTATAAATCGACCTTTAAAAATTACTAAGAACTGGGTTTCTTAATATGAAAATAGATGATTTTTTACAACGCCACATTTAATTCCTAAATCTCTGTTTTGACTTCAAACCGCATAATTTTAAATGAACTTTACACATCTGCCTGAATCTGGTTCGCCAATAATGTATTCTGATGAAGATGCTTTGCCTCCCTTAATTTTTGGGGATTTGGGGAGAATTTTTGTTTAATCGATAACTACGTGCATTTATAAGCAATTTAGATCAAAATATCATCCGTAAATCGTATGTAGCTGTTATAACTTATTTTAGCATTGTATAAGGAACATTATACTTTATATTGGAAACACTTTAATGCTAGGCACACAGTGGTGCAAAGAGCAAAGGAACCCTTCTAAGCTGGCATAAAAATTGATCAAGAAGAAGTTTGTCAAATTCTTCAAATCATATAGGACCTTAGGGGTGATTTTTTTATTAGTTCAAAAACATACTTATTTGGACCCTTATATTCTGTATATACATTATCGTTTTTCATAGTTATTTTAAAAGTCGAAAGTCATCACTTTCAATTAATGGAATTCATACTCGACAAGTTCACAGATAACTGTCAGTACGAAGACAGTTTTGGTGGTAACATCCACACATATGTACAAGTATACACTGCCTAGATCCCCACAGCTCCACAAATTTTCTAGAACAATCCTCAAATTCACAGCCACACATGTTTAGTGCTTATGAATTGTTTTAAACAAATAATCACTCGCAAACAGACACTTTGATGGACATTTCAAAACAACGAGACTAAACATTAGTGGATTGCTATAAAAACAACAATAACCACAATAAGTCATTGGTGCCACATTGAAAAAGTTCTGTGCAAAGCGTAGATCAGCCAACTGGAAGCACAATACGCACATGTACAAAGCAGACAAAGAAATACAGAGAGAGAAAACTATTTTTGTTTCTTTTTTTTTGTTAAAGTGTCGAGAGGACTACTTATTTAATGCGCATCTTTAAAGAAAGAATATATACAATCAAATTAAATGAAAATGTGTAACCGCTGTGGCATAAACGACATAAAGGCTATAAAAATACGATTTAGAGAAATAATGAGTGAGCAAGTAATGTGTGAGTGCGTGTTGAAAAACGGGTTACTCGCCGCACAGCTGAACACATGGCGGCCGAGACAGAGGCAACAGATGAACCTTTGAGATAGTCAAATAGAGCAGAAGTTGAAGCTGCTGATTGTGTTTGATGATGATGAAGGACGGACAGACACTCACATATGGATACAAGTGCATGCGAACAGACATACACATCTATATATATAGTACAAGTACAATGAGTTAATGATTATGTTGTTAGCATTGAAGAAATGCACGTGAAACTCGTCTGGACTGTGCGCACGCTGAGGAGCTGAGGCGAACAAGTTGCTGGAATGATAAGTATACTTGTTTAGGGATAGATGCAGTTGCGAGAGAAATAATAGCAACACTGCGATAATTATTGTTGTCAGGAAAAATAGGTATATGGGTATGGATACAGCTGTAAGAGAAATGATGGCAATTAGTATATATTATATATACATTTTTTTTTATCAATTAATATAATAAAAATATTAACCAAAATTTTATGGAAAGTTTAACAGAAAAGCAGACTATTTTTTGGGGTTTTTAAATGAAATGATACCAAATTTAATAAATTGAAAATTAGTTAAACACATGGAGGTTCAAGCGAGACGAGAGTTCATATTCTGAGCTAAGAGAGCAATAAATATATTTTATTTATTCAACTAATCTAAAATTGGACTTAATACTAGCAAAAAGCTTTACCAGGTTCATTAAGCCTTCCCCGAACATCCATATTATATTGAGATGATGGCTCTCGCTTACATGCCTGGGATCCGCAATTTTACGAATGCCAGTATCGGGTATGTTCACTGATATTTTTTTACTTTGAGTCTTGCAACAAAACAATAGCTTGAAGGAAATGATTACGAAGACAAGGGAATAAGTACAGACAATTTTTTTGTAACCTTAGTTAAGAACGGTCATCATTAGACGTCATATTAGAAGTCTTTTAATAGTCATATAAGAATGTGTAAGAATACTTAAAAGCTTGTCTTTACAAAATTCCTTCAAGAAGACGCTAGTTAGGTTAGAACTTGGTTAATAAAAAATAACAAGCAAACAAATACCATCTCATCAAATTTGAACCAAAGATGGCAGAAAAAAACTACAAAATATCAAGTATTTACGAGCTCATTTTTATTTTTCATGGTAAAAATCGTCAGACAGCTGACGAACACACACTAATTGACATTTTGAGATCAAAATTTACCCGAACACCAATCTAGGAAAAATTTTGTCGATGCAGTTTGCGAGCGCAATTTAAATGAACCAGTCCGGGTCATTTTTGATCAGATGGTATATAATATGAACTCAATTTTTTTTTTTTAAATCATGAAAACGTAAATTAAATTAAAAAAGATAATATAAAATAAATTTTCGTTTTAAGTTTTATTATTATTATTTACTTTTAAAATATACTTCACCGACTTGAAAGACTAAATTTATTTTCTCGCCACTATTTACAACTGAATATGAGTATATAGTAAAAAAAAAAAAGGTTTCTGTTGTTTTTACCTTAGCTTGTTATTTATGCAGCAGTTCCAGGTAAAACTAATGAACAAGTAAAATGTGCGCCAGGAAACATGAGTACATTGGAGGCACCAAATACCATTGCATACAAACATACATACATGCATATGAACATGCAGGAATATACCTATGCTCAGCGTAGGCAGACGCCTAAATAAGTAGGCAGATTGACTGCCGCTCGAGCGGCTTTCTGATTAAAAAGGAATATTAGAAGAGAACTGGATATTTAAGTGAACGGAGGGCACGTAAATGACAGCGGCGTATAGCGGAGGCAGGAACTTGAGAACCCAAGCAGAAGAAGCTAGCAAGTGAGCAAACAAGAAATGCAAACAGCGGTGTGGAAATAAACAAGAAGGACTAGGCAAACATGACATGAGCGTTTTACAATATAGCATATGTACATATATACTGTATATATATATACTTGTATGTGTAAATAAATGCACTTGTCGGTGACTAGTTGTTGTTATTCATATTTGTTTTTCTATTTTTAAGTTTTTGTTGTTTTGTTTTGTTATTTTTTTTTTAATTTTTTTATTATTATTTTTTTTTTTATTTTAAATTTTTTTTGTTTTCTTTAGTTTTTTTTTTAATTTTTAATTTTTTGTTCTTTCTTTGCTTAAAGACTTCTTACCGTTGGTCTGGCGCATTCTAAAACCGGTAACAAAACAATTTGAGGGGAAAAAAATGAAAAGCCAAGCAAGCAAAATGTAAGGGAAAAAAGTGGATTAAAATGTATGTTTCGTGAGTCTTAACTAACACACACGTGCACATACAGACACACACAAAAACAAATAACGCAGTACAGAGAAAAATGTGCAGTTCTTAGTGGAAATTCTAAACGAGCAAAGCGATTAAACAACAATAGCCGATATTGTAGTACTAAAACAATATCTTGTGTACTTAAATAAGTACTTACATGCATTAGTATTGTAGTTGTAGCGGCAGAGATGGAGGTGGAAAATTGAAAATTAAAAGGCGTTACATTTTCCAACTTGAAGGAATGAACAGTTTGTTAGGGCGAATATATTGCAAAGGTGTTTTGAGATTAGACAAGAAAGGTGTAGCATTAAGAAACAGTAAGAAAAATAAAAATAATAATAATTTAATAAAAGAAAACTATTATTTACTTCGTGATATATATTTTGTTATAAAATATACATTTCTAATCGTAGAATTTCTTCAAGTGCTCGACTAACTTTAATCATTCAAATTAAGTTATTGTAAATTTTCATATTTCATGTGTCAAACTGCGATCAATTTATGGTTTATAAATAGCATATAGCACATATGTATATGTATGCTTTTTCAAAGATTAACATTTATTTGGACAAATATTGAGCAACCTTAATCCCACAAATATACTTGCGCTGCACGTAATATGACATTTCGCATCTGACATGGCATTCATTTAAAGAAACCATATTTTAAATACTTTAATCTTATACATTAGTTAATCTTGTGGTAGCCGTCTCCGATACGCCACATCACTGCTCGCGCACTTACCAATACATGCACATGTGAAAGCTACAAGAGAGAATACATATGTAAATACCTCATTAAAGCTTATACTAGCTGCTTGTTCTATACGCCACATTCCAAAAATTGGCGTAAATAGCCTAACGGGGCTGTATGAAAAATCACAATAGTATTTAAGAAAAATTAAACAAAGTTTTGAAAACAATCAATATATGAAACTAATGAATGGATTGTTACGAATATTATTTATATCATACAATAAAAGTTAATCATGACGTCACCGACTATAATATTTTGCTGTCAAACGCGCTTCAAGAAAAGTAACAGACAGTTTTCTGTCGTAATCTCTATTTGTAACATTTTCGATAAATAAAACTGTAAGCCTTTTGAATACGGTCTCTTTTAATACTGCTTAATACTGCCTAAATTGAATACTTACTTTTTAAATTGCATATAAATAAGCCAAATGATTCAAATATATACCTGTGTACGCACGATGAAGATTTCGTGTCATTTTATTTTGTTTATGCATTCATAAATTTCCCAATGCATAAAAAAGTCCCAGCTTAAGGTAATTGGTTTTCAAGAAAATCTGCACACATTAGTTATTACAATATACATATATATGTATATACATACATATATCAAGCATTTAACGGCACACGCCGAAATACAAGTATATACCTGTCTACACACAGTAAACTCGTCTAGCTGTAAATATTCCGTCATAAATTATAATTTGTCTCAAAACAACTGACACATTTGTAATTAAAATTCTTACGAAATTTTTGAAAACTTAAAAAAATATACATTTCTCAATGAGTTTTAGCCATTAGCTGGCAAAATATATGCACACAAGCACAAATCACCCATATGAGTTGCGCGAAAATTATGCGATCGAATGGTTTTCATGGACGAGCGGTATCGAGGTGGAAAGATAGATTACAATACATATGTATGTACCTACTTTGCAGTAGGAAAAAATATGAGTTTACAAGATGGATTTTTTTACTAAAATCGAGCTAGACAGCAAATCACAAACCTTATGCAAATTAAATGATCATTATATGAAATTTCATAAAAATGTATACAAATATTCCATTTCATAAAAAAACATATATTATGAGGACTTGAAAATGCCGCAATGGAAAAAAGTATAGAGAAACCTTTGGCACCAACTTACGAAACTAACAAACGACTGCCATAGACAACCAAAAACGCTTAATTATTCATAAAGCCAATTGGAGAACTGAAAAAGAATATCGTTTTTGAAAAAAGAAATATATTTGTTATGGTCTAAAAACAAATTATTCAGCGCCCACATATGTATACCAACATTATACTAATCAGTAAAATTTAAAAGCACATTTATATATAAATTTACAAAAATAACAACGAAGTCTTATTTTGTATAAAACAAAAAAAAAACCTTTTAAATTAAATAGAACATTCACCGACCATGACGCGCCTATTATTGCCCACACAAATAAAATGTCTAATAAATTTATAATTTCTTGCTTTCACAAAATGTCAACAGGTGCATGCCGCACATCTATAGAATTCCCCTGTATACAAGTATATACGAATATTAAGAAATAGCTTTCGCAAGCGTCAGACAATAGGTGCAAGATCAGCGAATAAAAATAATGTTGGCACAGACAATAGACAACAAGGAGCAATGACGTGCACAATTCAAAGAAAAATAAAAAAAAACTTGATAAATATTAAAATTAAAGTTAAAAAAAATCATAACATATTAAAAACCTATAAAAATTTGTAAAATACTAAATTGATTACTACAAAAGAAAATATGTTAATTAAGTTATCCAAAAAAAAAATAATTAAAAACAAAAAAATTAAGAGAAATAATAAAATTAAAAATTGAAAAATGTTGAAATTGAAAAATGTTGAAATTTTTAATAAAAAATATACCATACACATATTTAAAAGCAAATATTTATTAATATCTTTTAAAAAAGCAAAATATATTACTAACAAAAAAATAAAAAATAACAAAACAATAAAAAAAAATTTATAAAAAATATATAAAATTTTTTTAATACAAAATTAAATATAAAATTTATTTATCAAAAAATACATATACTTAAAAAACTTATATTAAAAAAACTATAAAAATTGAAGAATATAAATTTTTTAATTTTGAAAGAAATAAAAATAAAAAAACTGAATTTTAAACAAAAATTATTTTAAAATAAAGAAAATATATATTTAAAAACTACAGTAAAAATTTAACAATTGGTAAACGCATTTAAAAATTTTAAATTAATAAACATTTAAAATTTACAATATATATAAAAAATTTAATTCTCCTAATAAAAATATCTAAAAAATTTAAAAAACTATTTAACATACTAAAATATATATAAAGGAAAAACAATAAAATTTAAAATTACAGATAAAAAAAAATATATAAAAAAAAAACATTTTCAACTCAAGCAACATTAACAAATTTAAATGAAATATTCGAAATTTTATTCAAAATAACATTAACATTGAAAAATTTTAAATTAATAAGGCAAAATTTATTTCTTACAAAATATAAATATTGAAAAAAAATTTAAAAAGTATTTAAAAACAAAAAGTTATGTTTAAAAATAAAAAATTTAATAAAGAAAAAATAAACATTAAAAATATTTTTTTATTTAAATAACATTAAAAATTTTAAAATAAATATATTATATAAAATTTTGTTCTCAAAAAACTTTAAAAAATAAAAAAAAATTAAAGAAAAATATATATTAAAAACAATATTTAATAAACGAAAAAATATTGAAACATTTTTGCATTTAAATAACATTAAAATTCTAAATAAATATGCAAAATTTATTTATAAAAAAAAATAAAAGTAAATATTTAAAAAATGAAAACATAGTTATATTCAAAAAATATTTAATAAAACAAAAAAGAAATTATTAACTTTAAATAACTTTAAAAATTTTAAATTAAATATACAAATTTTAATTAGCAAAAAACAATAAATTTTTGAAATATTTAATATATAAAAATATTAAAAAAATTAAATATATTTAATAACTAAAATATATATTTAATAAAGAAAAAATATATTTATTTAAAAAAAATTTAATTTAAATAACATTTATTAAAATATTAAATAAATCAAAAGAATTTTATTCTCAAAAAAGATGATTACAAAAAAATATTATCAGATAAATTCAATAAAAATTTATTAAAAAATATGGAAAATAAAAAAGTTTAACAATAAAATTAAATCAAATCTCAGAAAAAATATATTTTTTACGTATGAAACTTAACATTAAAATTAAAATGTTAGCGAATAATGTATTCTCAACCACAATAACAAAAATTTGACAGCAATAAATGAGAACATTTAAATAAATATGCAAACGCTAAGCACCATTTGATATTCAAGCAGCGGGCGAGCCAGCTATTTATAAACATAAAACATATATAAGTGTATGTATATGATTTTGTATTTGTACTTTTTATGTGGATTTGTATTTAAATGCCTGCTATTTATTTACATAAAAGATTTCTCACACTAGGCGGCTAATAGCGCGTACATTGAATAAATTAACTTAGATAATAAGCATATTTAAACTTTACTACGAATATGAAAGCAACAACAACAAAATTATAATCATAAAAGATGAAAAAGTAATCATAGTATTTAAGACAAACGCACTACCAAATATAATAATTATATGTATATGTATATATGTTTTAGCAGTCGAAAACCTTTTTTGCAGTGAATCCAAGCAGCGAACTTGCAAACCTACAATACATACACATACAAATATGTATACACACACACTCGAAGGCCTTGTGGCGCACGTTTGCGTCTGGCGATTATTATGCCCATAATAAATGAATGTGAAGCGTTTGAAATGTTCAAATGAAATGGAGTGTAATCCAAAGAATGAAGAGGCAGTGGAGTGAAACGACACGAACATACGCACACATAGTTATATTTAATTACGTATTTGGTTAGTAAAGCGCTGGCTAGTTGGCTCTAAAGTTGCCAGTGAAGTGTGGAAAATGCTTAGTAAACATAAGTTGAGGCCATTTGGCAGTGGGCATGGCACTCAGGGGTGGGAGCGAGTTGGCGGTTGGCGAAAGATGTTACGCTTCAAAGATTTACAGCGTCACAGAAATACAACGCTGACATAGAAAACGAAGGAAAAAAGAAAATATTTTATAAATGATATAAATATGTATGTGTATGTTGCAACATG